AAAAAAAAAGGGGATTGGTAAGAAAGCCCAGCCTGGGATGAAGAGAAGAAAATCAGAGAAAACCTTCTATTGATACTGCTGCTGGGCTTGGCAGCTGTCCTTGAGCAAAAATAAACTCCCCATGGCAGTGGGACAAGATGCTGATATTGGCACCTGCTAGGGGCAGACAGCCGAAGTCGCAGCTGCACTGGTCAAATGAGCCTGAAGAACTCGGGGGGCCGAGACCTCAATGACTGTTAGCAGGCTGCGGTTCTCTGCAGGCAGTTTATTGACACAGGGTGTGTGGCGCTTCCCCACCCCTCTGGGCTGGGTCTCACCGCAATCAGAAGTGCAGGTAGCACATCCCGCTGAACAGTCCGTGCTGTCTCCGGGAGGGAGCGGGGGCTCAGCAGAGAGCCCGGGGAGCAACGAAGGGCTGCCTGGAGAGATGCAGCTAAGAAGAGGCGCTCAGGGGAAGGCTGGATGGTTGAACTTCCAACTCGGGGATTAGCATCCTTTTCAGATCACCTGGCTCCTGAGAGAGGCTTCTCTCTCTTCAAAAAGCCAGGCTTACATGTCAAATAAGCATCTGATGGGACAAAAATTAATTTGGGTAGGACTACATTTAGAGTGACTAGGATGACGAATTGATGGGAACGGACCTTGTTAAATACTTAGGCAAAAAGTAACAAGCATACGGGGTGGGGGCCTCGGTGATCAATATGAAACTCAATCAGCCCATACCTTAAAAGAGCTATCCTTGTGAAATGAAATGTCCCATTAACTACATCCTCGGATGAAGGCAGTGGCAAACCCCACCCATTGAAGGCCTCTGCAGCGAGAATGTGTTTCAGAGGTGTCGTCCTCATGGAGAATTTTAGACAACAGACTTAAAACAAGTGGTCACTTGAGAATAAAAGCTGTGTCAAAGTCACGAGGTGTCAGATCTATGCAAGAGATGCCTCTCTCAGGGATAGGAGAAGAACGTAGCTTCTTCGGGTATCCAACCCAATTCCCAGCTGTTTCACTGTTTTAGAATTTCTAAAAAGAAACCCCCCTCCTCCGTCACCCAGATATTAGCTCCAGCTTGCTTCCTGCAGAGGCACTGCTGTCTAATTCAAGGAACTCGGGCTGTTTTGTCAGGACTCGGTCCCTACTCAGGTCAGTAAGGAACATCAGGATCCATTCACCCAGGGCAGGTGGCCCCTTGTTGCACCCTGATTTTGCGTCTCTCCGAATTCCCTGAGGTCAGTGCAGGCAGGCCTCTCTGCTTGACGGTGCCTGAGCCAGTCGTAATTTGCTCTTGTCTGTTGCCACTGCTTTTTGGTCTTTCGTGAAAAGATGGGTCTCACATGGTCTCATTTGCTTTATCAAGAGCAGAAGCCACAAAGACCTCAGGGGTATGAATCCAGATCAAGAACAGCGTTGAAAGAGAATTAGAAAATGTGGATTCACTTAAGCAGTCCTTGCCTGGCCCCCAGTTTATTGGCTCAAATAAGCTGTACATGTCTGACTACATGAATGAAAACTTAGTTTCCAAAAGACAGCTCCTCCGAGGCCACTATTTTGTAAATAATGACAACAGAAATACATTTCTGCTGGATTCTAAGAAAAGAATTTGCTAATTATTTTAACTCCCACGGCTCTGACATCTCTTTTTCCCGAGCACTTTCCACTGACTTTGAAATGCTCCTGCTCTCCCACTTTCCTAGTTTAGCAGATGGAGTGTTTGGGAGTGTCTGATTTAAAGGAGCAAGAGGCAGGTGGGAAATTGGATGCAGCTGGAGAGGACCCATCCTCGGAGAGTACGCATGACAACAACCATCTTAAAACAGACCATCTCAAAGGCCACCACAGCTCTGGGGGAGCTGTGCTCTGTATTTGATGAACTCAAACCCACCACTTCTAAGACATGTTTCACTACAGGATAAACAATTTGTTGAAAACAAATTTATTTTCATGGAAACCACACTCCGATCGCACTTTGGATACAGTTTGCTATACTTAATGAAAAATAACCTATGCAATTTTCAACTTACACATTTTCTACTAGAGGCTTGGAAAACAAACTCAGATTATGGAAAAATAAATATTCAGGTGGCATTCTGAATCCCCTCTTTTCATTGTGCCCTTTCTGCCTTCATGTGCTCTATTAAAAAGATACACGAGCATAGACTGGTCAACGATATTCGACATCGAAGTGGAATGAATGTGCTTCTAATCCGGTGGGCAAACTTGCCTTTCTTTTTTCTCTGGAATGAGATGGGCGTGGCTAGACCTGATCCGGGAGGCATGGTCTACAGGAACCGAAGTTACTGTTTTTGATCCGTCAAAGTCAACTACAGCGAGATGCATTCTGCAAGAGGCCCAAGGCTCAGCAGCTAGCCCCGGTAATGTGGTGGTACCCTAAAAGCCGGGACTGAAAGACAAGACGTAGTGAATAATGTTTGCTTCCAGCACTGCAAACGAAAAGTCAGATCAGGAAGAGATTTAAGTCACTTGCCTGCTCTGGTCCTGGGGCAAATAAGGGTGTTTCAGGGCCACTGTGTTAAACTGAGATCACACCGAATGGCAGAAACACTCGCTTGACATGATGTTACAAGAATCTCTCTCTAATGTGTTGTCACTGAACATCCTTGCCCCTGGTTATTTAATCAGCAATTTGTTTTCGAATGGAGGATTTGGTAACTCTAATGGGCTACTATCTCTGAAGAAAAATGAGATCTTTGTTGGTGATAGATGAGGCTTTTCAAAATTTAATTTATGTGTTGTGCATCCATGCTTTCTTCACTGAAGGCTACCCTTGTTAGCGCTGATAATTCCCATTTCCTCTTGGTCATCTGAAGCTAATTAGAGCTGCTGTTTACTGCAGAAGTAATCAATAGCTTTCTACAGTAGATCACACAGAATCAGGCCCATATGCAATTAGTCCCGTGTAGATACACAGAGATATCTTAATTAAAATAAAGTATGCCCTGTAAGAGATATGCTTTCATAGATGACTGGAATTCCAAATATTTTGACACATTTAATGGGTTTATTCAAAGTGGGAGTCTTTATGAAACCTTTCACTAATCAAATTTGTGTGATGCATTTCCCTTGAAAACATTTTGAAGTGAAAAAAGTTGGTACTTAAGTTATTATACATTTGTGTGTATTACATTTGGATATAAATGTACTTCAAATACCAACAGAGCTCAAAGACTATTCTTCATCTTGGATTTCATAGATTTCCATCCTAGCAATTTGACTGATTCTTACGAGGCAAATGTCAAGAGGGCAAAGGGGGTGAGTATGACATATGCGCCATGAGTTTCCTCCCCCAGCCTTGCTACTGATGTGAGAAGAAAGCTAGTGCCTCCCCCTCCCACACACACTCAATTAAGAAATCTCCTCTTCTCTATTCAGTTTTGGAGAAACATGGCTACCAGCCCTCAGCAACTCTAGCTTCTGAATCTCACCATTTCAACCAGACTTCAAAAGTATACTTTTAAGGTCGATTTGTTTAAGGAAGAGAATGATGGAAGCTGATGTGCAGTGAACAAACCAGATGCCTTATATTCAGAGTCCTGGTCTGTTCTGTGTATCCGTGCCAACCAACTCCTCTCCACAGACCTAACATTGGCCTTCTTGATCCACAAACCTTCTTTCTTTCTCGTATAGTCAGTTATGGTCTATCATGGAGGGCACAGGACAAGATGCAACAGGTTCCTGATGACCTTCAGGCCAAACGGCTCTACACGGCAGCCAAGCCCTCACAGTCGGGAGTAAAGACAATCCCTCAGAAGAGAACTGTGTGTCCTGGCACAGACCTGCTTCAGAAGAGAGGGCAGCGTGCCCCCGTCCCCTGTCCTGGTCAGGTAACGTGAAAACCAAGGTACTGGACTGTGTCCACTGGCGAGGGTGCCATTAGACACCGCAAAACATTTATGAGTGGTCACCGGTTTCCTCAAGGGTATGCACACTTGCATTTCAAGAAATGATAAAAGACAAGTGTTGGCTGCTCTGATTCCTCCTGCCTGTCCCCAGTAACGTGACGCAGAGCATTCCACTCAAGCACGAGGCTCCTCAGAGTCTGCTTCTGGAGAGCTGTATTCGTGATGTTCACATCAGAGCTAACACTACTTATGAAAGGAAAACATGCTCCATGTGTTTTTGTAGGAAACCATCAGTAAAAAAATGGAGAAAATATCATTACTTTCAAAATATAGAAAGCCAATAGTGGAAATCATTGAGTAGTAAATTTTTTTTCTTCTTCTACATATAACTTCATACATGGAAAGAGTATTAGAGAGACGCTTCAGCTATATTTGACTCTTGTTAGTTTAAGGGCTTCTCAACTGGGTAAGGCTTAGGAGAGTGTCATTCAATGATCAAGGTTCTGTGAAGTTTTACACCCACTCGCACTCTCTGTTTTGACTAGAAGACAGACACTACAGTTGGATGTGACAGGTGCTTTTTGTTTTCTAGGAGAGTGCGGAACTGTTCACAGAACACAAACATCAGCACGGAAAAGGCTAGAACATGTAGAAAGGTGAACACTGGTTGGTACAAGCTTGTTTGCATGAAGTCCATCAGGGTTCCCTTGATGAGAATCTTTGATGTGTAACAAGAAAGCTTGTTAGGCTGCAGTTATGGCATCAGAAATCAAAGCTATTACATGAAATAATGGAAGATACTTGAACAATACTAACTCCTTAGCTAGCTAGTAAAGGCCAGAGTTAAATTGTTAAAATCATCATCATCATCATTGACATTATCATCATCACAAAAAAACATGGCCAAGTTTGTTTTACAGCCAAATTTACAAACGGTCCCTTTACAATATAACATATCCCAAAGCCTTTTGAGTTTGGAATGTAGTACTGCATTGGGTATCCCATAGAAGCCCTAAGGATCACAAGAAGCTTTCTTAAAAAAAAGGAAAAAAAATCCATTTGCATGAAACTGTCTTAGCAGTGTCTTAACTGAGCGCCTAAAACCGGAATTTCAGATATACAAGAGGACAGGAAACAGATAACTTGGTTTTTGTCTTTTTACAATATGTCCATATTGGTTTTTTTTTAATGTGGCTACAATGTTTCTGCCAAAGATAAAGATAGTAGGGTGGACAGGGCGGTTACCACCAGAAGCAGCAGTGGGCTCAGACCGCAGCGTGGAGGAGCAGCCATTGATTTTGTGGTTATGTGGCTGGAAGCGCCAGCAAGACCATCCTTTTCGTAATCGCGCTATAAGAAAGAATGTTTTCATTATCACCTGCTGCATGTATTCATTCTATCACAGTATAGTTTACCCACACTCTTTCTCTCTCCCGGTCCTCCCATTGCCCCCAACCTGCTCTACCACTCACCAAAGCTGACCCAGGATTTTACCCCTGACTGAGACTTCAATTCACTGACTTGTAGTTTTATGGGAAGGATCATATATCTGGGTGAGAACCAGATACTTTTGATAAACTGTCTGGTCCACATTCATTTTCTTGGATTTTAATATCCACTTGGCGGGGGTGGGGGGGGAGAACTCTGGTATCCTTGCCATGTCCCGCGCTCACCCCACTCCCCAGATTCCCTAGGAGCTATGCAACATGAACCCCTTTTCTCCTTTTGGGGACCACTGACTGAGGAGGCATGCTGGCTGGCCCTCCCCAACATGGAAGGAGGGCAGGAAGAACCACCTCAGAAAACTTGCCCAGACAAGTACTGGTTTATATAGAGATGGATCACAGATCACACTGGAGATCAGTGCAGTAGGCAGTAGTGGCTTTTCCCCCATCGGCCATTCTACTCTACATTTTATAGATGCAAGAGCCTGCCCTGCTCATCAGCAGGAGAGCTCAAATCAGAACCCAGGCTTCTGGACTCCCAGTCGGCACAGCCATCCTTTCCCGGGATCCATTACTCCACCCCCCCCCAACCCCCCAATACCCACTCAAATCCCACATGCCACCTCTTGCCACAGGGAGCTAAGATCATGACAGAATTATCCATTCCCTCACCCGTAAATCGGGGAGAGTACCTTGGCCTGCCTTACCTACCCCTGGGTTGCTATGGCAATTAAAGGAACTACAGATAGAGGACATCCGGTAAGCAGTGAGAGCTGTTATCTATGCCTGATGATTTGATGTGACTCTGATATTGGGACAGTGGTATTCATGTTGGGTCCAGTTCTGAGATGAAGATTCCGGATCATCCCACACTTAGCTCTAACTTTGTGTACTGGGATCCAATGACTTGTTCTGAGGGAAGAGGGATGGGGGGAGGTAGGGTGCCTTACATTTTTCTGGACTGGAAATCTTGTCTTTGAGCCCTTCACATCATCCCCTGCCCCAGGGGCCCAAAGGCTCTGTCTCTAGAAATGCAGAGAGATCCAGAAAGAAACAGAACTTACATCAGAAAGGCAGAGATGTGTACTGCCGGACACATTGGATTTCAGCTTCTGTGCCTGGGGAGAGACAAATACACACACATATAAACATCGCTCTTTCATATTATGAAAGAATAATTACTGATGATCCATTAATCAACTGTCCAGGGCAGTGCCATTGATAGAAATACACAAGCCACAACTGTCAGTCTCACATATAATTTTACATTTTCTAGTAGCCACCGGTAAAGGAGAGAGCTGGTAAAGTTTATTTTAATAACATATTTTACTTAATACAGTACTTATCATTTCAACATGTAATCAATATAAAAATGACTGAGATACTTTACATTCTTTTCATACCAAGTCTTCAAAATTAGACATAGCATGTCTCAATTCGGACCTGCCCCATTTCAAAGGCTGAGGAGGTACATGTGGCTACTGGAGGCAGCACAGGGCGAGGCTACTAAAGACAACGTTTTGAAGTCATTTATAATTTGAATTCACTTCTGTTTCTGAGTGTTGATTTTCAGGAAGTGCCTTTGAGGTAAAAATGCTGCAATAAAAATTCCCATTGATTAGATGTAGAGAGATAGGTCTTCCTGAAGCTTGCTTGTTTGTTCATTTGTCTATTCGTTGTTCCAGTTAACAAAACACCAAGCTATTTTCCAATACTGGGCATATGGTGATATGACCAAAAGGATGTAGTCCCTGGGCTCATGGACTGCTCTCTAGTGAGTAAACCACTCACTGCTTGGGAGCTAAGGCACAAGGCAGGGAAGCTTCCAGATGGGTTACCTCAAGGAATCGTGCAGGGCATGACAGATCCCCGATCCAGCAATCTTAAAAACTGCTTCCAGGGCAGTTGCGAGAGGGCTGAGCTGTAAAAGCTTTAAGCTCCCTATTTCCTTGTGGGTAGAACACGTCTCTACTGGGCTTCTACCTGAGGACTGAGTTGAAGGAAAGGTTCATTGCTCAAACAATGACAGTGAAAACTGCTGACCCAGTACAAGCCCTCTTGTTTTGTAAAGGTAAACTATCAGAGTGCAGAGACATGACTTATCCAAGGTCACACAGCAATTCACTTGTGAGTCAGGACCTAGACCATGTCTCTACAACTCTTATATGAGAATGAGCCCTTTCCTGCATTCGTGTTTCTCCCAGGGACTCCTGGCATGCTTGCCTCTTCATGCTCTACCTGCCCCCAAATCCACATAACCCCTCCCAGGACCTCCCCCCACCCCACCCACATAGGAGATCCGTGGCACCGAAAGACACAGAGCTCATGGTGCCAACAGGATGACCCTGGTTAAGCATCACATCAGAGTCAAGGAGTATCTGGGTCACCAGCTCTGTGTGAATGGCACTGGCAGGCCACCTGTTGTTGGAAGACTTTTGCAACTCATTGAAGACACGCTAGGCTGAAATGATAGCATCTTCACCCAAGGAGTAATTTATTGGCCATAATGCTACTTGAGAGGCATCATAATCTTTACGTGTATTTGCACATGCCAGCTGTGAATATGAAATAGAAACCTTTAAACAGGCATCAAGAATAAGACACTGTGAAGCATCCTCAGGCTGTTCAAAGGTCACTAAATGTTATGTGTAAGAAGATCAGAGGGGAAATTGGAGGAGGAATTGAACCTCACTCAAAAGCCTACTTTTAATCTATATTAATAGCGAATCTGGCCCACTGCATTGTTACCTACAGAGAATAATGTGTAGAACTTTACATGTTTTATTTCTGTTCAAGAAATAAATTGGAAATGTGCCCAGACACCAAAATGGCCCTAAAACATCACATTCTGTCCTTTCTTTTCTAGGCCATAATCTACAAAAGACATAAACCTATGCTAAGGGCCTTTGCATCACTAAGAAGTTCACTACAGTGTGCAGAGAAGGAAGAACAGCCTAACTTCTAGTCTGGGACACATTATACCTTCAAGTTGTTTCTGTACTGGTGGTCACAGCTAACCAGCACCACAGTGGCCTCTAAGAGTTCTCAGGGCTGGGCAGGCCTCCTTCCTACTTTGTTCTGTATCATTAGCACCAGCAGGCAGTCTTTTCCTCATTGGATACACAATCTGAGATACTCACTAGCTATACATCTCCATCATTTCAGGAACTTGTTGAGGTACTGGTATAAGCCCACCATTATTAAATGATTGTAAAGGGGCTTCCACCAAAGGACCTGGAAAGCCTTCTAGCCCAACAGAATTTCTGAAGTGGACTCTGGATCTGCACAGGTAGATTTCTGGTTCTCCTTAGTCACTGAGCATTCAACTGTGTACAGCCAGGTGGACACTCACGGGTCTGAATTCCCAGGTTCTTGCCTTCCACCTGAGAGGGGCTGGGATAACTGTTCAACCACACAGGAAAATGCATTTAGGCCAGCTGTAAGTCCATAAAGTCTCTGGCCTCTTCTTCCTCCAAAGCGGCCATCTTGTTGGCCTCTGTGTAAAGGAAATGGTCAGTTTCTGGCCTTGTCTCCCGGTAGCCCCACTGGCTTCACTACATCTGGAGGCAGCAGCCCCAAGGTCATCTTGACTGGAGGACCATTCTGGTTGTCATAGCTGGATGAACTGCTGAGTAAAAGTAATAACATGCAGCCAGGCCCCTCCAGATGCTCTGAGAAAACGCCTTCTCTCCTGTTAAACACCTTCCCAGTCCACAGAAGCATTTAACACTCCAAAGGCTTAGCAGTCCACACACACCAGCCTTTAAATCCTCTGTATTAACACAGCTTCCCACTAAGAGGTCTGGGTGCAGATATGTGCACAGCAGCCCTGGAGTCTCACTGGAACCCAGCACAGATCACAGGAAGGTCTATGAGTCTGACCTGCTTAGACAGAATGGTATTAACTCCAGGGAGAGCATCGTTAGGGTGGACGCCCAGTGCCTCTCAGGGTTCATCAGCTGCAGGTGGAGGGGCAGACCTGTATAGGCCTAGCTGGCTGCCTGCTTAGAAGTCCTTTATGCAGTCCAAACCCAGCCAGTGACCAGTGAGGTCAGAAATCTACCAGAGTCCACCTAAGAAAATCTGGCTCTGAAAGCCCATTTTAGAAGCCTGGGCAACGTGTTACTTCTACATTTTAAAGGCTTTTCTCCTGAGCATTTTGGAAAACATCAAGTTATCCCTGTCTACTAGTCAGTTATGGCATCTGCTAACAGATAAAATGACAGGGCGTCCCCCACTTTCAACTACCGCAGAGTATTTACATACATTAAATGTGGTCTCAGTTGAAAACAGGGACACTCCCAGGAAAGTTTAAAAAACCAACCAACAAACAAACCCTTCTTAGATCTTGTAAGATATAAGGCAGGTTTGAATCTGGAAGGGCACCTTTTATCGCAGAGTTCTAAACCAGTAAAACCAAAGGTAGAACAATGGAAGTGCTGGCACAGCACTCAAGGTCCCGTCTATGAGCCTGGCAACCCTGCTCATTACCGCATGTGCAGGGATGCCAGCCCCGACCTATCTTAGACAGGAAACCTTACCGTTTGTGGCTTTAAAATAGGACGTCTCTTTAAAAAGAGGGATAAAGAAGGAGAGAACGGATTAATTTTTCTAAAAGCCAATTTTAACCATTGTAATAGCATAGCAAAAATGAGTTATTTAATCACTTCTATGAAAGACTGAAAGAGT